TTTCCAACAAGACGGTGCGACCTGCCACACAGCACGTGAAACAATGGCGTTACTGCAGACCAAGTTTCCGGGCCGTGTCATTTCTCGAGTTGGCGATCAACATTGGCCACCAAGATCGTGCGATCTAACACCCATGGACTTTTTTCTTTGGGGCTATGTAAAGGAAAAGGTGTATGCGAAGAAGCCTGAAAGAGTTGAAAATCTTAAAGAGGAAATACGGCGCGTTATTGGTGAAATACAGCCACATTTATGCGAAAACGTTATTGAAAATTTCAACAAAAGAATAACCCTGTGCCAGAGGTTTCGTAGTGGCCATTTGCCTGATGTTGTATTTCATATTTAATCGGAACTATTTTTCTTTATGTTGAAATCAAAATATTTGCTTAATTCAAAAAATAAATGTGTTTTTCTTTAAAATTAAATCCGGCGCCCTGGTTGGGACACCTTTAGAAGCATTTTTCTTATGGTATCATTAAAAACGGTGGATTGACGATGATTTGGAGAACTTTGATTTGAACAGGCTGGAGGATTGTTATGTTGGCAATACCTCATAGCTGAATGTCTTTGGAACCAATATGGTAACCAAAATGATCCAATTTATTTTATTAAGCTTTGTACCGATTTACTTGAGAAAGATTCGGGATGATGTCGAAGGTTGTCAAAGAAGACATTAACTGCTTTCCAAATGAAGTTTGAAGGACATCATTCTTAAAATTTCCCCGCCTTTAGTGTAAAGAAGAAGATTCAGTCTTCAACGAAATCTTTAACATAGTCAGATATAAAAGCGATATAACATATAAAAGAATTAATTGCACTAAAATCATTTTTGAGACAATTATAAGTCTCAACCCTTTAAAAATAAATTAACAGGCCATCATTANTAGGTGACGTAATTATTTGCTTTAGACTAAACTGTTCAATTAGAGGAAGAAATTTGTTCCCATAAATACCACTAAAATCGAATCCATTAATGTTGAAATCACCAAGGCACACAAATCTTTCAGATGTTGGGATCAGAGTGGAAAGTAGGTCTTCCAAGTTCGTAAGAAACTGCAAAATTTCTTTGTAGAGGGTGTGAAGACGATAAGCCATATTGTTTGTGACTGTTCCAACCTCGCATACTTAAGGGAATCCACTTTTGACGTACCACGGCTCCAAATTTCGACTATAAAAAACATACCCTTTCGTTCTATATTAGCGTTTATTAAAACCTTGGGCTGATTAGGTTGGGTTGGTTCTAACCCCTGAATGAACCTAAGTGCTGTGAAGGAATTCACCCCCACCTGAAGCTCGATCCATGAAGAATCTGTCCAAATGGTTAGATATGCAGATTAACCTTCGTGCTTGGCAGATCAATGCAGGCAATCATGGAACCTTTGGAAACCTCAAAACCGCGCGAAAAGAAGTTGGACCAACAATCAATGGAGACCAACCCAAATTTCTAATTTCAGTAAGAGATGGAGACATCGTGTCACAATTGGAGATTACAACTTCCAAGTAGTAGACAACTTCAGCTACCTGGACAGCAATGTAAACACCTAAAACGATGAGAATACCCACCACGGGTAATGAAGTTACCCTATGGTGGTTTCCAGGACACAAAGGCATTGTGGGTAATAAAAAGGCTGGGTTACAGAACCTCTACAGACCCCAAACCCAACTGTGGACTGCAAAAAGCCACTACTACTAGCTACACTAACTAAAAGCAACACTAAGTTCTTCATCAAGGCCCTAAATCTGCCCTAAACTTTTGAAGGGTTTAAGTTATAATAGTGACCTATGAGATAGATCACGGTGATGAGAGGAAATGCTTCCTCGTGCATTCTACTACCTAGTACCTATCATAAGATTCCGCAATATCCACAAAAATATCAAACTCCTAAAACATGATTATTATCTGTACAGTGGTGTGGTACGGAAGCAAAATGTAGATCATTACAAAAAGAATCGGCATTTATAGAAGAATTATAGATCTTATAAAAATTTTGTGTCTGGAATCATCTTTCCCCTAGAACTAAACATTTCTAGACTAGAAGCACTTTTCTTATGCATTGGAGACATAAAAAGGTGCATTGACAATTATTATTGCTGCCGGGCTGAGGGGAGCGGTCCTTCTCGTTACCGCGACCTATAAGATCTATTGTAACTTTAGCCCTCCAAAGGATTAGGACAAATAGTATTACCCTGACGTCTTGAACCTTTATGTCGGTAGGTGTCAAGAGAGTTTTACCGAAAATTTACTTTGTGTCTTAGACAAATTGCACAGTATATGTTCAGCTGTTTCTGACTCGTTGTTACAAAGTCGACAAGTTTGATCCTCAGCTTGTCCAATGTGGAAGAGGTGGTATTTTAGAAGCGCATGGCTGGTCAGGTAACTTGAGAGCGTCCTTAGATCCCCTTTGCTGAGGCATAAAACCTCTTTGGTTTCGTTTTGCGACGAAGTTATCATCTCATTGCACCCGTTATATTAAGACATGCTAACTGGATTTGTGCCAGCTGTTGTTTTTGCTGCTTTATGTTTTGTTTTTGGCCACCAAACCAATGAGGCGTGAGCGACCATGGGACTGATTATCGCTACTGATTATTGCTTCGTGGTTTGAGACCCCAGCTCCTTCCTAGGAGCCTGCGGCAGATCTGGTTTGTCATGATGGCCTTTTTCCTCACCTTATCTAAGTGTGAATTCCAATTTAGTTTACTGTCTAGTATTACCCCTAGGTATTTAACTTCTGTTTTGAGGTTAATAGTTCTGCTTTCAATTGAAGGTGCTTTTATTTGTAGCTTTCTTCTCCGAGTGATGCTGAGCCCTATTGCTTCTACACCAAGTATTGGTGAGTAGTAGGGCTTTCTGCATTAGTTGAGTTATGATTATATCATATTTACCTCGGATTATGATTACCAGGTCATCAGCATACCCCTGATTCTTGAATCCATTTTTTGTTAGGGTGTTCATCAAGTCATCAACTACCAGGCACTATAGTATCCTTTTGCGCCTGTATAGTCGACGGATGTATATCTTTTACGTTTAGAGTCTTCTCTATGGATTCATAGGAGGTGTTATCAAAAGGCTATCTCTTTGGTTGCAATTGTGTCCTCTAAAGTGCTAGTCAAAGCATGGAGAGCTTAAATTGTTGTTTTTGCTGTCTGGTAAGCATGTTGGCTAGGGTGGAGTGGATTGCATTGACGATGGTTTGGAAAACTTTGTTTTGAACAGGCTGGAGGATTGCTATGTTGGCAATACCTGATAGCTGAATACCATACGTACACACTCGTTTTAGTGTGCTTTTATATAACAATATTTTGTTATTTAAAGGTAGCCTGGAATTTCGAAAATGATTCAATTTATTTTATTAAGCTTTCTATAGGTTGTCAAATAAGACATTAACTGCTCTAAATATTGAAGGACATCCTCATTCTTAAAATTTCCCCGCTTTTAGTGTAAAGAAGAAGATTCAGTCTTCAACGAAATCTTTAACATAGTCAGATATAAAAGCGATATAACATATAAAAGAATTAATTGCACTAAAATCATTTTTGAGACAATTATAAGTCTCAACCCTTTAAAAATAAATTAACAGGCCATCATTAATATTCTGTAACACCTCCACGCCTCGTCCTTGAATTAAATTGCCCTATATTTCTAGTAAACTGCTCAACTTTCGCTCCTCACACTTCACCCGCAAAGATATTCGTGTTGACCTATACCTTCTGGTTTAAGATAACCAAATCGTATTTTTGTTGGTTTTAAACGATGTTTTACTCGATCATGGTACATTAACACTGAAAAATAAGTATTAAAAAAGAGTTTTTTTTAATAATTTCAGTATAGATGTATTTTATCTGGTTAAGCAACGAATGGTTATGGGTGAGGCAAGATGCGTGTGGTCTACTCCCAATTCGAGCCGATCCCATTGTGAACTTGCCACTCTCCTCCCTTTCTCTCTCTTTTCTTTATTAACGTAAAATAAATATACTCGACTTATACATATATATATTTTCTTACAAGATGAAGATTTAAGGTTGAAATCATCTTAGACACCTTAAATCAATTTCTTCTTGTTTTTATTTCCCCATCGCATTCTTTTATAGAACAAGAAAAAGAATGTTGGGTTTTCATAAGTTGATTGAAGTGCGCAAGCGCTCGAAAGGGCGTAAAGCCAGAACCTGTTGATGGACCTTTACGTTCGTCGCTCGACGCATCGTTGAATCCTTCGACCCCAAGAACCCGAGTTAAGAGTATTCCGTCTCGTTTCGGAGCTGTTTATTTACTTCTTTTCTCGCGGAGGCCGAATAATAATCGGCCGGTGCTGAAATTCCTGCGTCATGGAATTCGGGTCAAGGAATGCTAAAATATGGGGTTATTAATATCGAAATAAAAGGACGAATTTGATTTTTGCATAAATAAAAATCCAGGATGTGAATAAGATAAATCTTAGTTTTTTTAAATTCATTCAAAATGTTTGCCGAAGTAGTTTTGAATAGACTAAAGGAGGTTTCTTTGGTGGACCTTTTGAAGCCTGCGGCACGAAAGGACAAAGGAGACCGACTCTACAGATCCAAGGACAACACAATGGGACAAAGATTTGCGAGTTCTGTTCGTTTCCTTTTTCGATTTAGATCCTCCTCGGGTTGTGTTGTTCTCGTTGGGAATTCTTTTTTCTTACTGGAAAGTAAAAAAATTTCAATTAATACGAAGAAATAATTTTTAAAGGTACCTAAACGAATTTTGATTTTAATTATGAAAAAAATTAAAGTTAATTTTTTTGTTTTCTTTTGAGAAGGTGTTTTTCGAAGAAAAATCTTTTTGGGTCGCCGTTGGCGGTTCCTCTTCTTCTTCGACGTCCTTACAGGTGTATCCTCCGTCGTCGTCGTCGTCGTCGCGCACAGGTGAGCGTGGCACACGGGCGGGTCTAGAGAGGAGAACGAACGACGAAGACGTCGAGGGGGGATCGAGGGGGAAACCGTCCGCGCTCCGGGAGACCGAGGAGCCCCGTCTCGCAGGTAGCGGCCCTCAGTCCGTGCTTTTCCGCGCCCGGAACGTGCCACAACCGCCGTCGGATAACCAAGTGCAGTGTTAAAACTCCAAAAAGAAATTACCCACGTTTTTTAAACCACCCACAATTAACGAAAACAATTTTCGTTATCTCAACACCATGTGACACTAAATCAAAATTGACAAAGTTAAAAAAAAAAAAACAAACTTTATTCCATTAGTATTATTATGTGTTTAGTATGGGAGAGCGGCGGCGATATGGCATGAGCTTAGCACGCGACGCTCACCCAAAATGGCTACGTTAGGGCTCTCAAAAGTCTTTATATTGGACAAGTACTTTACCGAGTTGCAAAAATTCTGGGAGACGGAAAAGAAGCTGCAAGGTTTGTTGTTATGTTAAAAAAGCGCGCTAAAGCTATCTTTTTCTGCTTCGCCGATTCTTGTTTACGTATAGGGTAGGGTGTGCACTCTCGAAGACCTGTACCGTATAAAGTTGGGGTCTCAGCGGGGTGACCTGTTACAAAACCTGTTTGCAATCTATTCGAGAAAACTTTACCGCTTTACTAACAACATCCGATCATTACTTGTATTTTTGTATTTTTACTTAAATCGAGTATAAACATAAAGTGATTATTTTAAAAACGTTGTTTTAATTACTTCCGGTTTGTAATACTCGATGTATCTTAAGATAACCCCATCGTGTTTGGACTCATTTTAAAGCATTTTCAAACCGTATCAATAAAAATTGATGTTTTAAATGCATCATTTTTGTTTGGTCTCTTTGTAAACTGAATGGTCGCTTTGTTAAAGAAGGTAATGGACCAGAACAAGAGCAGCACAAGGAGAGTGATACGATCAACAAAACCGGCTATCAAGCAATTGCTGAGAAGGAGGAGAACGTTTCTCACAGTAAATTAACACAGGAAACTCTCTCTCTCTCGCTGAGATAAAATAATAGTAATTTTAATAGAAAAGATCCCGGTTCTTGTCTTCTTTTTACTGTTTAGGCTTTAGACATGGGTAAACAATCGCTTGCGGAGAAAATTTGCACCGTTTGCGGTCATGATGGTTACATTGGTTATGACATCTGTTGGTGTTACTTCAATTTTCCGTTACTTCTTCGTGCCGAGATGGTTTTAGAGGTACATGAAATTGTAAAAGTAGGACATATTAAAGAAAAAAAATTTTTTGATCTGCAGTTTGTAGCAAATTATACATCGTTGAATGAAGACTAAGTCATGCAACGCAATCCTAACTGTCAATCTAATGCTAAATTCCTTGTATCAAATGAAGGAATACGTTTCGTCCTACTCCAATAAATTATACCACACACAACTAAAACGGTGAAATTTAGTGTAATGATCTAGACTTGAATTGCGCATCCTTCCTGAAATCAAAGCATGTATAATCTTATCTCGTGAAAGAACGCTTACAACAAAATAAGAAAACAAGATTTTTTGTCGATGCCAAAACACTACACAGTGTTTCTTTTTTGTGATCTGCTGAAATAGAACCCCATTCTTGATGTACCTCAGATGATGCTTCTCATCTATTAGAAACGCAAAAGTCGATTTCTAAATGTAACGATTGACATGGTTATCTTGATTGTGAGATAAATATTTTTGCTATAACTGTCAGTGGAAATAATTAGCAACATAACTGCCTTCAGCTCATTCTGGCTTTGTCTCATCATAAGCCACAGAAAGAATGTTATCAATATGCGCATCTTGTAAAGGTGAAAAGAAAATAGTAACAATTTATAAAAGCTCAATGTTGATTGGGTCTATGGCGGTCATGTTGTTCCGGCAAAGTCAGTCAAATCTGTTGTTTATAATTCAGCAACTGATACCAAATCACCAAGGCAAATTACATGATTGAGCAGCATGTCCGAATGATAAAATATTATTATCAAAATAACCAGCCTTTCAAAAACGACTCTCCAACATTTTGTAGCCAAATTCGCGACGATCGGTTTGGTACAATCAGCAAGATCCGTACATTAAAGGAACTCGAGGCAGACTTCAGTTCACCAGGTGGCAATGTACTTTTTCTTGTGTTCTTTTCCATCGACCGATGTCCTCAAATCAACATAACCCAAGCCATCTCTCAAATTCATTTGGACATCGTTCCTAAGATCGATACGATTCTGCCCTCCATTCAAAATCTTCCTCGTCATCTATCAATAACAACACCTTAATCCTAGAAAGCTAAACCGTTCAAAAGTAACGTTAAAGCTAAAGTATCGTAAAATTTACGACTGAAAAAAAATGTAATAAAAAATACTTCTAGATACAAATTTTGACATTAATGAATACAATTAGTCAAAATATATCATTGGAAACATGTTTAGGTCAAAATTGGAAATTACAAGTCCTCAACGCAATCGATACAGCACTTTTGTTGTCACAAATTGTTCGTGGTAGGTTTTGAAGAAGGTCCTGTCTGATACCGAAACTTTCAAGATATCCGTAATAGATTGCCGGAGTTTGCGAGTCAAAATTTAACCGCTGCTGAAACCCTATAAGGTTATGGTATATTTTCATGGAAAATTTTCTTCTTGAAATCGGTTTCTGACTTTTCACAACATTAGTGACATAAATGATATATGCATTAACAAGTACAATGTTCAGAATGCCATAAGAATGCCCCCGTTTAGTCTTGCGAACGGCTAAAGCCGAATGATTTTAGTTCTAGATCGAGTGTGAGTTCTATTGACAGTGTTAAGTAGCGCTAGTAAGCACTAGATAGTGCTGGATTGTATGTTGTTATTGAACTACAACTAGAACCAACACTAGACCTAGAACTAGAAACATTCGGGCCTAGCCGCACGTCTTTAAAGACTGCTAAACCCGAATGATTCTAGTTCTAGGTCTAGTGTTACTTCTAGTGACAGTTCTAAGTAGCACTAGTTTGCACTAGATAGTCTTAGGTTGTGTATTATTATTGAACTAAAATTAGAACTAACACTAGACCTAGAACTAGAAATATTCGAAACTTTCTAGGTCTAGTGTTAGTTCTAGTTTTACCTATTATTCAGTGCTAGATTGTTGTATATTTTTATTGAACGAAAACTAGAACTAAATCTGATGTTACACGTAGCAGTCGACTGCTATGGCGGTAACTACGGAGGGGTGTTACATTGGTTATGCCATCTGTTGGTGTTAATTCAATTTTCCGTTACTTCTTCGTGCGGAGATGATTTTAGAGGTACATGAAATAGTAAAAGTAGGACAATTAAAGAAAAAAAATTTTTCAGAAAACGTTTAAACACTATTTGATAATTATAGAGACCATTAGAAAGCTTCTGGACACTTTTGGACATCACTAGACCTAGAATTAGAAACATTCGGGTTTAGCCGTCTTGAGAGACGAATGATTCTAGTTCTAGGTCGACTATTAGTTCTAGTGACAGTGTTAAGTAACGTTAGTAAGCACTAGATAGCGCTTGATTGTATGTTGTTATTGAACTAAAACTAGAATGTTTCTAGTTCTAGGTCTAGTGTTTGTTCTAGATTTATTTGTTATTCAACGCCAGATTGTTGTATATCTTTATTGAACTTGTAATTTTTACGATAGTTTAGCTTTCTAGGGTTAAGCATAAATAACAGAACTGAAGTTTCGTTTTTGCTGACAATATTGTCCAAGAGAATCTTAATATTTTTGCCATTTTACATTACACCTAATTTCGAACTTGTTCGTAATTATCTTATCGCACAAGTATATTTGAAACTCCATCAGCTGGTATATGATATATATGGCCTCGGCTTTACCACATAAAATTGACTCATCTACATTGCTAGCAGCAAAGTCACAGTGATTAACATTATATTAACCTGAAACTAGATATCATATTGAGTAGCCTCGGCCGCGGGCGGCTTCAGCTTTATCAGGTAAAGTTACAAATCCTTTGACTAATTAAGGGCCGGTTGTACAATATAGCGATAAACTTCCCGACAGCGTTATCTGGCAGATAAGTTAGTTTGTACTGTATTACAATGTACGGATATTTTTGTCGGTGAGATTATCGGCAGGATAACTTATCGGGTACTCAGCGGTGCCGATAAGACACTTATCCGGCAGATATTTATGGTTACCAAGGTTTTTATATAAAAACTTTGTATGATTACTGCATAGGTTAACCTCTAACATTAAACGTTAACCTTATATGTACGATGTGTCAGTGAAAATTTTTTTAAACAATTTATATTGTCAAAATCATAATTCAAACTTCAAAGAAAGACGTTGGCGTTACCATTCTACGACATAAATTACTAGATATGGGGAAAAACTACTACCAACCGACTCTTATTTCGCCGATAGCAATCCTACCGACAAAAACAGTTTGTACAACAGCGAATATCTTTATCCTCCTGATAAGTTTATCGAGCGGATATATATATCGGTATATTGTACAACCGGCCCTAAGTGATTTATATTATATACTATCAGATACCGGTTATCATATCGATCTATTTATTAGCTAGGCATCCCACTTGTGCATCTTAAGTATTACATCTTCCATATTGTGTATTATAAATTATGCATGATCTTCTAAACAGATCTAAACCTGGTTTCTGCTGAGGATTTTTGAGTATTTTATTGGCATAGTAGCAGTGATCGCCTCTCATGACTCTTATTGCCATTCCAAGATAAAGATATATATTATTATTATTAATTCCAAACTTCTTGCAGCCTGATAAATTAGATTTAGATGAATCAGTTCTCATAATTACCGAACAAAATTAATTATTAACTACTAAAGTTAATGAATTTGATGAAAATTTTCGTTTTTACGATATAATCTTGTCACAGGGACAGGTTTTTAAAAACATTGAATATTTTATAAATCGGTTAAAAAAACAAAATTATAGAATTTTAAGCCTCTTTTAATTCGTCGATTAAATTGCAATTACATCCAATGCCGAGAACGTATTCTCACGGCAAACAAACACCGAGAGAAGCTCTTGCGCAATGTTAAGTGCCTCTGGGCTGCTGCTGCATCCGGCGACCGCAGAAAACAGCTACGGCATCGTCGTCGTCACTCGGGCAAAAGTGCAAAGGCGTCGAGTTGTGCAACTATTACAAAACTGCTAATTGATATCGCCCAATGATTCATAACTTCATCTAAATCCTTTTGCGCTTTCTCCTCTCATCTATAATCATTACTTAATAAATTAAGAAGATTAATCGATCAGTTAGAATTTTGATTTTAACCGAAATCATTTCCTAGAGGTTTTATATAATCGCAACGGAGTTGGAGTAACAATGTGAGTTTTCGATACATGTATAGGTTGTGTCATAATCAGATTTCTGTACAAACAAGTTCGCTGCTAGATACAATCAAATCCTATCGGCTTTGTGAACCGTATTCGGGACCAATTAACGCAGCTGCGTTCGTTTCATGTTCAAATTCGACACAGATAGACAACGGCGGCGCCTAAAGAAAGCGCGCAACTTTTCAAAGACAACAAAACCGGACGAGAAATTACGCAATACCAAATAATGATTGTAACGTAGTAAATTATTTTTTCAATTTAACTCTAAAATCGCATTGAACGACATAATTTTAAATCTAAATTCGCCTTCATCCTACACGTACTGCTTTTATGGATTCATTCATTGCAACGGATATTGTTGTAGCAATACTTTTACGTTGCCACACACAACAACCATACAGGCCTTTAAACGATACCGACAATAAATAATGCGCGAAATCGAACGCGCTCTGCTATTGCGAGATAGAAAGTTTACCAGCATCTATAAATATCCCATCCCGCGCAAACGTGTACTTTGATACTACACGTACGGGTTGCAAATACTATTTACTATTCAAAAATCGTTTTAAAGACGGTTCAAATTTATGCAATCTACTATCTTCTAATTAAAAGGTTTTTACAACTAACCTATAAAACCTACGTTTAAATTATTCCCAATATCGATTAGTTCTCGCAAGAAATTATGAACCAGCTGTGAATAAATAAGCAAAAGCATGTTGAAATGAATTGATCGGTGTAATGGTTACATTTTGCTCAAGTTAATGAAATTGGAGTTTTTAGGTGAGGGAAAAAGGAGTTTGTGTATTACAGCTGGGATATAGATATCAACAGAACATTAAAAATTCGATAAAAGGAAAAACACGATCTAGTCTCGCGAAATCGATGAAGAACTTGAAAAGCTGTTACTTGCTAATAATGATGGTGATTAAACTATCACTAGAACTAACACTTCGAACTTGTTCCTGAAGAAGGTTGCAACATGGCATCCGAAACGTCAAACATTTTTTCAAAAAACGCACGGCTTTAACCTGAAAGTTTCTAGGTCTAGTGTTAGTTCTAGTGATAGTGCTAGTGTTAGTTCTAGTTTTAGTTTAATAAACACCGGCCGTGAAAGCCTTCGTACTTAAATGATGATGATATTTGACGAATATGATACTGATAGAGAGTCGAAACAGAAATATAGGTAGAATCAAACGATGAACAAAGAGAGACTTCTTCTTTCTACGATATATTATTCAAATGAAATTAACCAAGAAACTCAAAAGCCCGAGATGATCATAGACTACAATATAACAAAGGGAAGTTAGCTTTGCCCAAAGACGGTAGAATCTAACAGGACTGTTACATCCATTGTATTTTTGTAGCCCACTACGGGTTGGTTGCCCGCACTCTACGTCATACTATTTGCCACGCCTTGTTAACTGTCATTGAGTACTATGCGTTTGCTGTGTGTTTTTAGAGGTTGCATGATAGACATTAATACGTCTAAAAAAATAAAACTTCAAAAATAATATGAATACGTCTACGATATAACCTCTAAAAATACACAACAAACGCATAGAGCTGGGCGTGGCAAATGGTGTGACGTAGTTTGCGGGCACGTTGTCACAAAAATGAATGTCCTAAGGTATCATATATTCTGAGGCATATATGATACCTGCCTCAAGTTAAAAGCTTCAAATATGGCTAGAAGAGAATTGCCAAAGGCCCACCGACCATAAGATCAATGACAAGACTCCATTCTTAGGCCTTTACAAGGTTGCAAATGGAGGTGGAGAAGATGGGCTTAAAGATAAATTTTACAAAGACTAAGTATATGGTGGCAAAGACTGGTGTCATACCAGAACATTTGGAAGTTGGCGATGACAAGACAGAGACGATTAGCAGATCCGCATATTCGTGATCCCTGATGAATAACAAAAATTCGGTCAGCGAGAAAATAAAGAGGATAATTCAAGACAAGAAATGTTTCCATGTACTTAAAAATAACTTCACATCTAAGCTACCAAGAAAAATCAATATATGGGTCGAAAGCATGGACCTTACAACAGAAAGTCTAAGAGGCACTAAGAAGATTCGAGAGGAAAGCGACAACGGTGTGTGATTACCAGAGCCGCGACGTTGTCGGGCAACTCATTGGCGGCTCGTCGCCTTACTGTAGAGACTCAGGAACCCCAAATTTTACATAGGCCAGCATTCAACCAGTATCGTTACGTTGCGGCACATCGATGTGCTCGATAGAAGCATGTTACTACTACGCTATAACCCGTTCGCTGCTCTATACAGATGGTGACATCAACAGCCCGAAACATCGCGGCTCTGGTGATTACAGCTTCGAATTGTATCTTCTATATTACGAACCAGAGATGATGTAAAGGATTGGCCATGTAGCCAGACTGGACTCAGAAAGTACCATAAGAATTATCTTTGATCGCAGTGGATCAGTGGGTAGAAGATCGGTTGGGAGATGATTTCTGGACGATGTACATGAGGACCTAAGAAAGCTTACGATCAGGAGTTGGAGATGACGGGCACTGGTTTGGAACGAACAGTTAAGGCAGACGTAGCTTCAAACGAGCTATACAGCCATGCAAGATGGACCACAGAAATGAAACATATGAGAGAGATACGGAATAAGAACATAATAATAAAGAGGATTGAGGATAGCGAAAATGATTCCAGAAAAAAATCAGAGGAAAGTGTTGATGAAGAGGCCAGGAAGAATGGATATCTAGCATACAACAGATACGACAAACTGGTGATGTATAACGAAATATTATCAGCAGAATACGATTAACTGAAGGGTAAACTGGGTATGCAAAGTACAGGAGGAAACACCGGCCAAAAGCGAACGGTGACGGAAAGGTCCTGTTAGATTCTACTGTCCTTGGCTTTGCCTTCCTCGTTTTGCAGGCTACTTGATCAGTGTGAAATCAATTCTAACATCACAGTTTTTGAACAATTTAGCCACAACCTGATTTAGTCGCTTTTGAAAACTCGAATGGAAACGACACACCTAAAGAGGGGTCGACCAGGTTTGAGCCGCATAGGTTACTACAAATCTTATTAACATTTTATATCTTCTAAACAGGTCTAAACCTAGTTTCTGGTGAGGATTTTTGAGTAGGAGTCTTTTATTGGCATAGTAGCAGTGATTTCCTCTCATGACTCTTATTACCATTTCGTCCGCAACTCTGCTTCGTTTAAGAGTGTGTCCACCGGCGTTTTGCACTTTTAATTGTCATGCACTTCGTATTGTTCTCGTTTATTCCCAGCCCTACTCCCATTGTATTTTGGTTCAATTCTGCGAAACCTTCTTTATTTCTGCTTATGATGACCACATCGTCTGCATACGCTTATATCCTTAATATTAGCTTTGATGAAGGCCGCATGTAGTATTCGCAACGGCTTGTTTCTGTTGATGGTACTCTGGTACCAATATGGAGTTGGGAAATCAATATCAAACTCATCTTCAGTGTCCTACTCGATATCTGCTTTTGAAATAAAATCAATGTCAATATCGCCTATTTGAAAGAGTATTGTTCTCACTTTCGTATTACACTCACTGTTACTTTATTTTTACCATAAAAAGTTTTGTATCATTCTGAAAAATAACTTACATCACAAAAGTACTCATAGCTATTACCACGAATTGTACTGAATATGACACAAATCTTACAACCATCCGTGATATCAAGAATAAGAACCTACCTTGTCAACATTTTTCTAAAGGCACAATACAATTTATTAACACAGCACGTTATTTTCACATTTACAAATACCTAAAATAAGGAATTTAACAGCCGAACACGGCCAGATAAAACATTAGTTATTGTCCAGCACTTTGCATTCTGTGAGCTAAAAATTAAACCTTTAGTTAATCCTTCTCCCAGCTCAATCCCTCTAGCAATCTCCATTACATATAGGCGCCAAACTAACATAGTCCAAAATGCCTCCAGGACTCCTGATACTATGAGAAAATCGAAAGAACACTATCGTGTAAATTTAAAATCCAGACTATTAAGACTCTGTTTTTGCTGACGACTAGATAATGACAGCGAGATATTTTATTTCTGGCTTACGCATAGATATGCCTAAATTAGCTAGATGTGTAATTTATGCGTCGCATATCCTACTCTTGTTTCCTATATCCCTAATTACACATCCTACCTTTGGGACACTCGATATGATTGCTACATTAATCATCTAGAACAGCGTTTGGCTCTACAGTATTTGTATAAACCCTACTTTTATGTGCCCAATAAGGAAGAGATTTAAACAATAAAAAAAAATAAACCGGTAAATTCGTCGGTAGACCCCTAAGGAAGAAGAAACCCTAAAGGCAAAATCTTTGACGTGCCGCAGCAAATCGTGTCGGAGATATTGCCATTAAGACCTACCTCCATGTCGCAATACATAACGTTCCGTTATTCCATCGAATGCTGAGGCACGTGTGAGTGTGTGCTGTTGACGAATGACGGGTTCCAATCTGAAACGAAATTGAATGCCCAAAGGCAAACGGTGAAAATTGCTATTCTTTAATAACCTTCCGGAATTAGAATTTCCGTTGAACGTAAAAATGGTTAAATTTTAAATTTAACATTTCCGTTTGTGAAAGGTGTACGGGAAACAAAGATTTACGCTTTCTTAAACCGCTAATACGGGTTGAGTTAAAGTTCAAGTAGGACATAGAAGCGTGTTTTCCGACGATCGCTGCCCGAAAGGGTCATCAAACGGAGTTAATTCTGTATTTTATTGGAGTCGTATATTCTTAAATGTCAAATGAGAATTAATCGTTTAAATAAATAAAATTTTTTAGTGCAATTTCATTCATTACCTCGTGTTGGTTTCTTTATATTTTAGATGCCTCTTCGTCGAACGAGGCCGTCCACCTCCAACAACGATTGCGCAGCCTCAGCACCGAGTTGGTTACGTTACGGAACCGACTTCATGTACAAGGAGGCGCCGCGACGCCTGCACCCATCAAAGTACCGCCGGCAACAACCGCGACGTCGGTCGTTCCGCAAAAGGCGCCGTCGCTGCAACCATCTGCTATCACAACCACCGCCCAACATACCCAACATCACCAACCGGCCATTCCTCCACGATTAGCTGCGGTTATTGCGAACCCCTCAACTATTTTACCGACTAATCATCCGACATCACAATTAGCGTCCGTTGGAAACGCCGCAACGGTTAATCTTGAAGATCTCATTCATTTACAAGGACCTTTAACTGAAGACGCTGTTATGAAATGTCTTCAAGCGAGGTTTACAGCTGGAAATTTTTATGTAAGTAGAAATAATTATATAAATTGGATTACTTACTCAATTAAATCAATTTCACAAATGACAGTTCATAATAATAACATAACCTCAAATCTCAAAAAAATAATTTTAAATTTAAAACTTAAATTTATATAAACTAAATTTATGAATCAATCTTTTAATTAACATTAATTAATTGGATTAAAGGTATTAATTAATAAATATTGGGGCAAAATCGTCCAAAAAGTTATTTTTAACTAAATAATATTTTTAGTAAATTTATGTTTTTCATGTTGGTGAAATTGAAATTCGGCCATTTTGGTCTATGTTGGGGTTGGCGGGAAATTTTTTAAATTTAAATCAAAAACGTCATTAAAATTGTTAACAAATATACATATATTAACCTGGATTTGACGGTGGCGATGTTGATAAACAACTTAGCGTGTCTCATTCCAGGAGAACTGGTCCACAGTAGGCGAAGTCTCTTTTTAACCCACAGTCCAATCTTATGTTTGGTCATCGCTAATGCTATACCAACTGCTGACTCTGGCCTCACAAACGCTTTAGCGCTGCCCTTTCGTGCTAACTCATCTGAGTGTTGTCAAAAGTGACCTTTGACCTAGATCAGAGAAACTCTGTTATCACAACTCACTGTGTTTAAAGTTGTTTTGCAGCCATTATTAACCAGGTCCAGAACAGACACCGTTTTCATGGCTTGCAGAAATATAGACAGTTCTCTGTACTGTCTATATTTCTGCGAATAATTCTGCGAAATTAAAGCATCGGTCAATTTTTCTTTCACTCCAAACTTGTGTGTTTTTCTTATGTTTCGATGCATAACCATATTACCCACTTCAAGGAAAGCAGCTATTACTCCTAAAGTGCAAATTTGAAGCTTTGAGACTTAAGTTGACTTAGAAGGTCATGTATTATGACATAAGTCTCATTTATTAACAAATTAATTTGTAGTTCTGGAGTTATTTAGTTAAGCACTTAGGCATCTAAATAAACTAGAATTCGCTCAAAATCAGAATCAACCTAGAGCAATTCTTGTATCAAAGTAGGATTGAGTAAAGTTGTTTTTGAGAGACTTGAAAATATAAATTGAATTATAAGCACGAAGGCTTTCACGGCCGGTGTGAATTGAACTAAAATTAGAACTGAAATGCCTCGAAAGTTGTCTAAACGCCTTTTGGACATTTATAAAAACTTCAAGAAAATTTTTGAAGATGTCATCAAAGGTTCAGAAGCTTTCTAATAATTTCCATAGTCATCAAAAGCTGTTTAAACACTTTCCAAACAATTCTAAATATTTCCAGAAGATTTTTGAAAACGTCAAAAAGCCTCTAGAAGTTTTCTAATGATCTTCCAAGTCAACCAAGCATTTGTAAGTTGTTCTTTAATTATCAAAAAGTGTCTAAACGCTTCCATGACATTTATAAAGATTTCAAAAAGATTTTTGATTATGGCATAAAGAGTCCAGAAGTTTCTAATGATTTCCATAGTCATCAAAAGCTAGTTAAGCGTTTTCTGGACTATTAGAAAGATTTCGCGAAGATTTTTGAAAACGTCAAAAAGTCTCTAGAAGCTTTCTAATGATCTTCCATGTCAACCAAGTATTTGTAAGTTGTTCTTTAATTATCATAAAGTGTCTAAACGCTTCCTGGACATTTATAAAGATTTCAAAAAGATTTTTGATAATATAATGAAATGTCTAAATGCCTCCTGGACGTTTATAAAGATTTCAAGAAAATTTTTGATTATGGCATAAAGGGTCCAGAAGTTTCTAATGATTTCCATAGTCATCAAGCGTTTTCTGGACAATTATAAAGATTTCCAGAAGATGTTTGAAGACGTCAAAAAGTCTCTAGAAGCTTTTTAATGATATTCCAAGTCAACCAACCATTTCTAAGTTATTCTTTAATTATCAAAAAGTGTCTAAAGGCTTCCTGGACATTTATAAAGACTTCAAAAAGATTTTTGAGGATGTTATGAAGGGTCCAGAAGTTTCTAATGATTTTTTAAGACTTTCTAAAAAGTCTTTAGACGCTTTCTAATGGTATTTCAAGTGAATCAGGCATTTGTAAGGTATTCCATAATTATCAAGAAGTGTCTCAACGCCTCGTGGACATTTATAAAGGTTTTAACAAGATTTTTGAAGGTGTCATCAAGAGTCCAGAAGCTTTCTAATGATTTCTGTATTCATCAAAAGCTGTTTAAACACTTTCTGGACGATTATATAGAATTTCAGAAGATTTGTGAATACGTCAAAGGGTCTCTAGAAACTTTCTAATGATATTCTAAGTTAATCAGGCATTTGTAAGGTGATCTATAATTATCAAAAAGTGTCTAAATGCCTCCTGGACGTTTATAAAGATTTCAAGAAGATTTTTGATAATGGCATAAAGGGTCCAAAAGTTTCTAATGATTTCCATAGTCATCAAAAACTGTCTAAACGTTTTCTGTACAATTATAAAGATTTCCAGAAGATTTTTGAAAACGTCAAAAAGTCTCTAGAAGCTTTCTAATGATCTTCCATGTCAACCAAGTATTTGTAAGTTGTTCTTTAATTATCATAAAGTGTCTAAACGCTTCCTGGACATTTATAAAGATTTCAAAAAGATTTTTGATAATATAATGAAATGTCTAAATGCCTCCTGGACGTTTATAAAGATTTCAAGAAAATTTTTGATTATGGCATAAAGGGTCCAGAAGTTTCTAATGATTTCCATAGTCATCAAAAGCTGGTTAAGCGTTTTCTGGACAATTGTAAAGATTTCCAGAAGATTTTTGAAGACGTCAAAAAGTCTCAAGAAGCTTTTTAATGATATTCCAAGTCAACCAAGCATGTGTAAGTTATTCTTTAATTATCAAAAAGTGTCTAAACGCTTCCATGACATTTATAAAGACTTCAAAAAGATTTTTGAGGATGTTATGAAGGGTCCAGAAGTTTCTAATGATTTCCTAAGACTTTCTAAAACGTTTCTAGACGCTTTCTAATGATATCTCAAGTGAATCAGGCATTTGTAAGGTATTCCATAATTATCAAGAAGTGTCTCAACGCCTCGTGGACATTTATAAAGGTTTTAACAAGATTTTTGAAGGTGTCATCAAGAGTCCAGAAGCTTTCTAATGATTTCTGTATTCATCAAAAGCTGTTTAAACACTTTCTGGACGATTATATAGAATTTCAGAAGATTTGTGAATACGTCAAAGGGTCTCTAGAAACTTTCTAATGATATTCTAAGTTAATCAGGCATTTGTAAGGTGTTCTATAATTATCAAAAAGTGTCTAAATGCCTCCTGGACGTTTATAAAGATTTCAAGAAGATTTTTGATAATGGCATAAAGGGTCCAAAAGTTTCTAATGATTTCCATAGTCATCAAAAACTGTCTAAACGTTTTCTGTACAATTATAAAGATTTCCAGAAGATTTTTGAAAACGTCAAAAAGTCTCTAGAAGCTTTCTAATGATCTTCCAAGTCAACCAAGCATTTGTAAGTTGTTCTTTAATTGTCAAAAAGTGTCTAAACGCTTCCTGGACATTTATAAAGGTTTCAAAAAGATTTTTGATGATATAATGAAGTGTCTAAATGCCTCCTGGACGTTTATAAAGATTTCAAGAAAATTTTTGATTATGGCATAAAGGGTCCAGAAGTTTCTAATGATTTCTATAGTCATCAAAAGCTGGTTAAGCGTTTTCTGGACAATTGTAAAGATTTCCAGAAGATTTTTGAAGACGTCAAAAAGTCTCAAGAAGCTTTTTAATGATATTCCAAGTCAACCAAGCATGTGTAAGTTATTCTTTAATTATCAAAAAGTGTCTAAACGCTTCCATGACATTTATAAAGACTTCAAAAAGATTTTTGAGGATGTTATGAAGGGTCCAGAAGTTTCTAATGATTTCCTAAGACTTTCTAAAACGTTTCTAGACGCTTTCTAATGATATCTCAAGTGAATCAGGCATTTGTAAGGTATTCCATAATTATCAAGAAGTGTCTCAACGCCTCGTGGACGTTTATAAAGATTTAACAAGATTTTTGAAGATGTCATCAAGAGTCCAGAAGCTTTCTAATGATTTCCATAGTCATCAAAAGCTGTTTAAACGCTTTCTAGACGATTATATAGATTTTTAGAAGATTTTAGAATACGTCAAAGGGTCTCTAGAAACTTTCTAATGATATCCCAAGTTAATCAGGCATTTGTAAGGTGTTCTATAATTATCAAAAAGTGTCTAAATGCCTCCTGGACGTTTATAAAGATTTCAAGAAGATTTTTGATAATGGCATAAAGGGTCCAAAAGTTTCTAATGATTTCCATAGTCATCAAAAACTGTCTAAACGTTTTCTGTACAATTATAAAGATTTCCAGAAGATTTTTAAAAACGTCAAAAAGTCTCTAGAAGCTTTCTAATAATATTCCAAGTAAACCAAGCATTTGTAAGTTGTTCTTTAATTGTCAAAAAGTGTCTAAACGCTTCCTGGACATTTATAAAGATTTCAAAAAGATTTTTGATGATATAATGAAGTGTCTAAATGCCTCCTGGACGTTTATAAAGATTTCAAGAAAATCTTTGATTATGGCATAAAGGGTCCAGAAGTTTCTAATGATTTCCATAGTCATCAAAAGCTGGTTAAGCGTTTTCAGGACAATTATAAAGATTTCCAGAAGATTTTTGAAGACGTCAAAAAGTCTCAAGAAGCTTTTTAATGATCTTCCAAGTCAACCAAGCATTTGTAAGTTGTTCTTTAATTATCAAAAAGTGTCTAAACGCTTCCTGGACATTTATAAAGACTTCAAAAAGATTTTTGAGGATGTCGTGAAGGGTCCAGAAGTTTCTAATGATTTCCTAAGACTTTCTAAAAAGTCTCTTGCCGCTTTCTAATGATATCTCAAGTGAATCAGGCATTTGTAAGGTATTCCATAATTATCAAGAAGTGTCTCAACGCTTCGTGGACGTTTATAAAGGTTTTAACAAGATTTTTGAAGATGGCATCAAGAGCCCAGAAGCTTTCTAATCATTTTCATAGTCATCAAAAGCTGTTTATTCGCTTTCTGGCCGATTATATAGAATTTCAGAAGATTTT